CTGAAAATATTAGCATTTATTTAAGACTCACCCTGTATATTCTAAAAACAATACGTCATAGACTTATAGAATGTGTAGCAATGTATGGCGGGTTAATCACGGCGACCTTACAGATCTATTGTGTCCCCATTTCTTGAGTAAATATTGAGTAAATGGTTACTTCTTCTTCTTCTAGTGCAGATCCATTAATGAATGTTTGCGATAACATTTTCCATTGCTTCTCTGTTCCGGGCGGTGTGTATTAACGACTGAACATCGAGTAGCCCTGTCCACTGTCTAATATTCCTCAGCCAAGACATTTTCTTCCTTCCGATACCCCTCCGGCCATCGATCTTGCCTTCTATCAACAAATGCAAGAATTGATATTTGGGGTTTCGCATTATGTGCCCCAGGTATGCGGTCTTTTTCTTTTTAAGCAATTAAAAAAAATAATAATAAATGGTTACAGTCAAGGTAAATTTGCGCTCTTTTTATTTCCATTGTATATATTCAAAGAATACTAATGAATCTATGAAAGGAATTGACGATATATGGAACACTCTTTATTGATATTATATTGAAATGATAAAATAAATATATATCAATTTATTTTTTAATTTTACCATCACTATATATCAAGACCTTTTAACATCTTTCTTGCCGAGTTTGGCCGAACACAGGTACTACATGATAGTTTCCGAATAAATTTCGAGAAATTTTCTGATTGGTTGAAATAAAAATATCAGTCGGCCAAATTCGATAAAAATTATATTATACATCCTAAAAATATCATAAGTATACTGATTCACTAGGAATAAATTTCATATTACGAGCTTACAGTGCACCTATACAATATTCAACCAGGCGCCGCTACTGTCAATAGGGGAAGGCAGAATCGCGTTAGAAAAGGGAAAATAGTAGAATAACCTCGACCGCACTGAATAGAATTGAAATGTGCGATTGTACCGATATGAAAATGGAACGAACACTTTGTTTTTGGGTCGAGTGCTGTAGGTAAAAATAAATAATGTAACTTTATGCGTACCATTAACTTCTAAAAATAAATGTTAAGCTTAATTTTATGTCAAGTAATCGCGTAAGAGTAGTTATAAAACTAGTTTAGTTAAGCACTGTTTTATTACAAGTTTTAAAGCGATATAAAGAATAATTAGTATTACTTAAACCGGGTGGTATAACGAAACCAGGTATTGACAGGCCTTATATAGAAACTCTCGCCAATATTTACAAAGGAGCCAAAGCAAGAGTAATGAGATATAAAATAAACCCAGAGTTCCCAACCGGCAAAGGAGTACGACAGGGAGACACAATATCCCCAAAGCTGTTTACAGCAACACTAGAAGAAATCTTCCGTCAACTGGAGTGGTCCAACAAACAAAGGATTAAAAATAAATGGAGAATATCTTAACTATCTAAGATTCGCTGATGATATAGTCCTAATTGCCATTACTCTTGAACTATAAGCGCAAATTAATTAACTAAATACAGCCAGCAATAAAGTGGATCTCAAAATGAATTTAGCAAAAGCTAATATACAACGAACTAGTGGAGAGAAAAGACATTCTAATAAATAACACAACACTGGAAATAGTAGAAAAAATATTATATATACATCTATGTATATATTTGGGAAAACTAATACTCAGCTCGGGTCTCTACTGCCAGAAATCAACAAATGAATTTAGAAGAATCAACAGAAGTTAGCATGGAAGAAACACAATCATATTCAAATCTAGAATGCCACTTTATCTAAAGATGAAAAAATTCGACCAATGTGTACTACTATTCATGACCTATGCATGCGGGACTACACAAACGGGCATTATAAGGAAACTGCAGGTCGCACAACGCTCAATGGAACGAAATATGCCGGAAATAGTGTTGTAAATGGAAATATTGGAAATTTCCAAACGTGTCTCGGAAATATTGGGAATATTGGAAATATTTTAAAAAATACTTAAATCTCGTCATTAACGATTCAAACCCGATGTTTATTAATATATCTTTCATATTTTGTAACCCTATAAACATGAAACTTACTATAGAACAGTTTTACAAACATATAATATCGTCCCATTGCTGCCAAAAGTCACTAACTTACTTTTTATTACTTCCGAGAAAAATGCGTCTAAAGATGAATTGCATTGCATGAAGATGTTATAGTTATGACTTTTGCAATCGATTCTCCGCTTCAAAACATAGTTAGTGATTGAATTTGGTTGTTCGGAAAAATGTTAGTTAGTGACTTGGCAACAATAGGACGATATGGTGAATATATCGAGTTTGAGGATTCACCAACTTATTTGCAACCTCGCATTTCTAGGGGGAAGTGCCGAGCTCGTAAGTCGTAGCGTAGTAAAAACTCGCTGGTCTTCAATTTTGACCAATTTAAAAAGTGTATACAATACTGGGCTCAGTTTACAAGGAGTTGCAGTTAGTCAAGAAGCAACACAAATGATTGATAAAAATGTTAAGCAGTGGATATTAGATGACGAAGTATTTTGGGCCCAAATTTCCAACGTAATTAACATTTTTGAACCTATTAACAAATGGTTAAAAATTGAAGAAGGAGATTATAGCACTATTCATTTTGTTGTAAAAGCATTTTGTGATATTAGAAGGGTAATTCAGAATAATCTTGCATTGTCCTCACTTGACGACAACGAAAAATCCGAATTGTAGGAGAAAAATTTGCTATTAAACCCATTCATTATGCTGCAGAATTTCTAAATCCAAAATCACAAGGTTCTGAAACCCAAATTCTTTCTGCCATAGAATGCATATACTTAATATATCAAAAAATAAACTCAATATAAAGAAGCAAAAAATAATAGATGAAATAGCAGATTACCGTTGTAGAAGTGGCAAGTTATTTGGAAATAACTTCATATGGAAAAGTAGTTTTGATAACCCAGTCTCCTGGTGGAAAGGACTGTGTTCTTCAGCTTCATTATCACAAGTAGCTTCACGAATGTTGATGATGCCAGCATCTTCGGCTGCCACGGAACGCAGTTTTAGCGTTTATAGTCATATCCATTCAAAAAAGAGAAACAGGCTGAAAATGATGATACCGTGTGATGCATCGGAAAACGGATCATAAATAATCTTTCTCCGGTCGTCTTTGACGCCTTTTTTTTCAATTATACGGTATTTATATCTAATTAAGGTAGTTAACAAGATAGTTTATTTTGTTATATGCAGTGTAATGCGTGTTATTTTACTTTATAGCAGAATAAACTCAAATTTTTATCATGTCTTTTGAGAAAATTACTTTAATTAGAAGCTTAAATGTGTTAACGCAATAAAAAGTTTAATTGCATTTTGACGAAAATAAGCGTCTACTTGAAGATTATACTTTCTGGAAGCGCTATAAAATTGTAAGAAGCTTCATAAATTTTTATATTTATTTTCCTACTTTATTTCTTCGTATCTTCAGCAGTTCCGACTTAATATTCTGGGTTTTATTTATTTTTATATTTATCCCATTTTTAAGTTCCAATATAAAATTATAAACTTCAACTTGAGCAATTTTTATATTAAATTATTGTAAATATTTATTTCTTATAAATACTACTATTTGTGACGCTTAACAAAAGATACTTTAAGTATCTATGAAGAAAACCGGTCTAAGACACTCGAAAAAATTTCTCAGAACATACGAGCGAGAAAGATCAAAAATTTTTCTTGATTTAAGTAAAAAAAATCTTCGGATTGTCACGGGGTTTCTAACAGAACACTGTCTCCTCAACGAACACCTCAGTAAAATGAAGCTGAGAAACAACAGCGAATGCAGAACACCTCATCACTGAGTGCATCGAGACGACTATTTATTTTTGAATGAATTTATATCAAACCATGTTATTATTATATACAAAAGTATCTTTTACAGTTTTCTCTTAAAACAATAAAGCTTCATTCAGAACCTCGCAATTAGTGGTTTCAATTAGCGTAGAAGTTTGTTCCTTTAATTTGAATGTAAGCATTCAGAATCAGTGGAATCAACTCAAAATTAGGGGTAGGAATTTTCAATTAGTGGAAAAAGTGTCCAAACTTTTATCTTTTCCACTAATTATACTTTAAAATTTGAAAGAGGAATGTCATTTTGGCCTTTGATTATCATCCGTCAAGAGAAAATGTGGTTAGAAATCAAAAGTTTATTGTTTTATAAGCTAAATATTAGGCTTTCTCTATAGATACAACTGATTCTATTAATTTTAATTGTGTTTTTTAGACATTGTAAATGATCGTAAACTTAAAAGTATGAAGAGAGTAATTGAAACCACTAATTACGGGGTTCTGAATGAAGCTTAAGAGAATATTACCTTTTAAAAATGTCCGTAGGCCATACTTTTATTGAACATTGAATCAGTCAAGTTTCCCAATCAGCTCGATATATTGATTATGTGTGTTTCCCGTATTACTCACACTAATAATATACACTTTTATTTACTAATTCATTATAATAAAATTAAATAATAAAAATTTTGTAATTATATTCCTGCAGATTAAGTATGAAAAGTTTTGTTCTTAAATATCTACTCTACTTATTATTAAACGCGTGTTCAAATATTAATCTTGAGGAATAGGTATCAACATAAAACGAGATGTTATTAAGGAAATATCATCGTAAGAACAGATATTTTAGAAAAGTCTAGATTTACTTATTTCACTGAGATTTATGAAAAAAAGTTCTTTGCCTCGGGCATAAATAACGCCTCGTTTTGGAAACAGTTCGAAACGAAACGAAATTGAACGAGACAGCAGGAAATGCCAAAAACACGCCTTTCTCTGTAATTTCAGAGTAGTTTTCAGGCTCTTTAAAAAATATGTCGAGACAAGCCGAAATAAATCAAGACAAATGGAGATAAGCCGAAACGCGACAAAGTTAAGCGACAAAACGGGACCTTGACCTGTTTTGTTCTATTCTCCGAATAGTGTAGAGCGTGTTTTAGAATTTTGGCAGGAAAATATGCCTATAAAATTATGATATTTGTTCTTTCCAGGGGCTGTGGGAGGTGACGATGACGGCGATGACAAAGAAAAGGAGGAGGAGGCCGAGAGGGAGCGGCTGGAGGCCATTCGCGAAGCTGAGGAGAGACGCAAGGAGAAGCACCGTAAAATGGAAGAGGAGCGGGAGAAGATGCGTCAGGAAATCAGGGATAAGGTCAGTCTAAACCTATTTTCGATTTAACTACAAAAGTTGCACTTATCTTAAATTATAACTATTTTATTCGTGATGATGTATATCCTATTATTATACAGTGCTCATCAAGAGAGAAAACAACATATAGTATATGGTAAATTCAAATTAAATTAATTTGTTTGGAACCATTTATTGTCCCAAAGAAAATTTAACATTTAATACTCTAATTTTTTACTAGTCTAATTATTTCTAAATTTAATGCTTAAAGACAAAAATCAATAAATATGTTATAATCATCAGAATATGCATACATCATAACCTTGAAATTAGTTCAATTAGCGCAGAAGTTTGTTTTTCTAGTTTAAATGTAAGCATTCCAAACCTCAAAATTAGTTGTAGTCAACGTGAAGAACGTGAAGTACTGGGTTCTTTCCCCAACCACTACGGTCGCTTTATTTATTTAAATAAAAATATTGATTTATCTAAATAGAGCGACCAACGAGCCGCCATGCTCCACCTCAAGCACAAAACATCCCCCTTTAGAACTTCATCTGTCATGTTAAGAAATGAAAGTAAATAATAAAGCGCCTCTCGTGTTTGTTCGCACTCTAAAAATTTCAATTAATGCCTGTATATATTTTTAATATATTTTTTAAATTTACATTTTTTTAATTGTAAATTAATATATTACATTTAAATGGAATATATTACACATAGATAAATGCAACAAGTTTAGATTGGAAAGCCCGTAAAAATTTTAGGTCGCGAAATTATTTTGGGTCGCGACCGTTATACGCGATCTGGCGCTGCTATAACGGTCGCTAAGAACAACGGCAAGCAAAAATAGAAATAATTTTCTCTTGTCAAAGTCAGAATCTTCAAAAATCATAATAATCTTTCAAAACCTAAACCGCTCTCATTAAAGAAATTCCGAAAAATGTTTATAGCATCCATTTTCAAAGTAATTATTGCTATCTTGTGAGTTTAATTCAAGTTTTATTTACTCCAACCGGTAATAATTGTGAAAAAGTGGCATTAAAAACTTAAAAAGCTGTGCTGTGAACTGTGAACTGCAAAAACCATCGTGGATCGTGGCATAACGTCGGTTTCCAATGTTTCATAGGTATTTCATACATGCGTCCTTATATAAAATAAAGTTTCTTGTATGCAACACACTGTATTTTATTTATAAAATTAAACGAAAATTATAATAAATTTGAATAAACAATATTTGGGGACATAATTCCGGAAAAAGCCGAACCGCTCCGAAATTTTCAAAAGTTTTGGGTCGCGACCGTTGCAAGAATAGCGCCAAATAGTGTTTACATTGTCCTTATGGGCACTTTCCAATCTAAACTTGTTTCATTTATCTATGATATTACATTACAATTATGTCAATTACAGGATTACAGGCTTGCTATTTTAAATAAAACGAATTGTTAAATTTAAATATATGTATATTTGTCGTAGGTATGAAAAAAATAAAATATAAAATTGACAAACGCTTACTTACATTGCAATAAAACTTCCACTTTTAGTTTTGCAGTCCAAACCCAATATTTCTATTTCACAAATAAAAATATCCGACAACACTAAAATCACTGAAACTTCCGCGGCTGACAACGAAAACTAAAAAATATAACGGCAGTTTTTGTTTTGGACCTGCATATCAACATTACGCTGTACCATTATGAAAATATCTAATTATAACTTGTAAATTTTAATATTTTAACATGATTTCAACTATTTCTGACAATAACTAACTTTTTGTTATCAAGATGACATTAGACGGCAACTGACACATATGTCATAATATTTGAATTTTAAATATGTATGTAATATAATTTAAATTAATATAATGCAACTTTATACTAAAAAAACATTTATACACTCACAAAATACAACAAAGTCTAATAATATAGTTTGAAAACAATGAATATTGAAATAAAATTAAAGAAATTAAGCGCGACCCCTTGTGTCAAAATTAGATGATTATATTTTCGCAATTTTTACACCATTTGATGACCGGTGACGCCTCTAGTGTTTGTTCGGGCGGTTGGTCTTTTACTCCCACTTATGGCCATTAAAGAAAAAGTTCTAAAGGGGGATGTTTTGTGACCTCAAGCAAGGCAATGGCAAACCACCTTGAGTATATTTTCCTCGGTATAGCCTCTCAAATAGTGCCGTTCGGATTCGGCGATAAACTGTAGGGATAACCCGTGTAGTTGTGAAACACCGATGACATACATCACAAATACATGCGAGAGGTAGCCGTCGGACATTCTATATAGAGTGTAGTAGTATTCCTTCTTTTGACAGTATACACGTAAAGTGTAAGAAGAAGGTACAAAAAAATAAGAAAAATCTTAAATAATATTTCTATAATGACAAACCAACTACCACATATTACATGTTCTTTCTCCTGATACATTATACTGGGTGTTTCTTAAAAGTGAATCAGCCCTAAAACCTTTTTATTGTTTCAGATAAATAAACAAGACTTGGTATGTAAAATTAAGATTGATTAATATATTCAATTGTTTTCAGTCACTTTCGGTTTCACCGGAAAAGAGTACAACTTTTGATATACAAATGGCACCCTCGGTATTTTTTTATTTTTTTTTATATAAAATGACATTCTGAATAGAATGACATATCATATGTCAATTTTTGACATTCTAGCTTAATAAAAAATCGTATTTTAAATTTCAGTGTAAAGTAAAAACACTAATTTTAATCAAGGAGCCTTGGAAAAATTGATTTGATCGTCTAAAAAAGGGTTAAAAGATGCCCAAATCGTATTTTTAATCATAACTCAATGTTGTTCAAATGAAACGAGAATGGCTCATTAGCATATTTAGATAAAGCATTTTTTACGAATAATTTGGTACCACACTCTTGGTATTTCGAGTCAAAATATTGACACATTTATGTTTTTAATTGAAAATGTCAAAAGTTAACATACAATATGGCATTCCATTCAGAATTCATATAAAAATCAAAAGTTGTATTTCCGGTGAAACAGGAGGTGCCCGAAAACAATTGAATACATCAATCAATCTTAATTTATTTCATATACTAACATACCGAATCTCGTTTTCTGAAAAAATAAAAATATTATACGGGGTATCCCTTTCCTATTTACAAAGGCTCGAATTCAACTGAATCGGATAAATTACAGTATTTTTAACGAACAAATATGAATATTTGTACGAATTTCAAACCACAACCACTACAAAAATTCCCTCGCCCAATTTATATTATTAACTAAAGCGGTTTGATTTGGCTGCCGCAATTGCCGCACTATCATAAATTCGCGACAATTAGCTAATTGCTTATTTTAGTTACGGTCCGTAGCTTCGATCCCTTTTCGGGTTAGTTGTGATTAACGGGCGCACGAACACCCCCTAATATCAAACTATCCGCATTTCAGTAACGACGAGTTAATTATGAGCGAACGTATGGCATATTAAACTTTTCGGAGCGCCTGTGTGTCATAATGGGATAAAACAATTTTTAGAGCCTCTAAATATTAGTCTGTAAATATGAATTTATGAACGCCTCTATATGAAGCAAAATTTATACATATCTGGTCATCCTAAATCCGCAGGCTGGATATGAACGTAAAGGATAATGATAGACATCTATTTAACAAAAAAAAATTGAACGGTTTAAAAAACTCAAAAAGTGGATTAATATACAGGGTATTCCTGTGTGAGCTTGCATTAAAATTTTCTAGAGAACTACACTCAGATTCAAAAAAAACGCAACGAAAAATTTTTTCGTTAAGTTTAAAGTGTTATATTTTTATGAACTTTAATTCATAAACTGAGCTTTTTTATACACACTTAATATTTTTTTTTTGTTTCGTACATTTAAACACAATTTATTTAAACTAATTTTCAAGTCCGGCTCTGTTTTTTTTTAAATATTTAATCTATTCATCGTAACCATATTGAATGTATGAATACGGAAAGTCAAACGTAATAGAATAATACAATAAAATATAAACAATCAAATAATTTCCCCAGAAGATGGATTGTAAATGGTAGAGCAGTACATTGGCCAGCGAGGTTCCTGGACCTGTCGCCAAGGGACGTGGGGGACATTACTTGACTTTATTTGTTAAAGCGAAATCAATACATCTCAACATTTACAATAAAGAGTACAAAATGTATTCGGAAGTATAAGAAGAAAGTTCAAAGACCTATAAATAAAATTGAACGAAAAATAAATTTGTGCAATAGGGAGGGTGGTAACCCTTTCGAACATGTAAAGCATTAAAAAATTGTTTGTAGAAGTTGATATATTTATAATAACTACGATTAATATTATGCATATTATATATATTTTTTTTCCTTTCTTGGGTATGAGGTTTTTTTTTTATTAATTGAAAATGGAAACTTTTTTTTTATTATGCGACGTTTCGCGTCATCATGGTGGGCTTTCTCAGGCACTTTATTCTTGAAGCCGCAGCCGCCTTGCTACCACCAGTCTATATAGAAGAATGTTGAATGTCTAAGAAGAATTTCATTCAACATTCAACATTCTTCTATATAGACTGGTGGTAGCAAGGCGGCTGCGGCTTCAAGAATAAAGTGCCTGAGAAAGCCCACCATGATGAGGCGAAACGTCGCATAATAAAAAAAAAGTTTCCATTTTCAATTAATAAAAAAAAACCTCATACCCAAGAAAGGAAAAATATATATATATGATATAATTTAAAGGTTTAAGAAAAAGAAAAAAAATTATGCATATTATTAGATCGCACACTGAGATTTCAAATTCACAGTAAAAAAGTTAAAAATAATATCTTTAAATTGCTGACCTGGATATTATTTATTTGAATCTTTCAATTGGCTCGATTTTCCTTATTCAATTTTAATTAGCGCTGATCAATATTGTTGCAATGAATATAATCAGATTAAGTAATTTAAAAAAGCAGAGTTGGATTTGAAATTATTTTAAATAATTAAATAGTTTTGTTGTTGTTAAGGTACCCAAAACAAAAGAAAGTATAA